TTTAACTGTTTTCCAATGTTTGAACTATTTTTGCATAGACTAAAGTACAAAGCACTGAAAATCATTGATAGACAGTCGTTCGATGGGCTGAATTGCACAAAACGCATGATCGCACCGGCTAATCTGGTGCGCGTTACTATTTCAAAACTGACACAGTGGTCTTATATAGGTCGCTTCGCATCATTACCTGACTTACCTAGGAGAGAGTCATGGTGCAACACGTTTATCGTTGAAATTTGTTTTCCAGGTATTGTTTGATGCATTGGGTTGCTTGAGGAAATTTAACACAGTTGAAGAGATCTGCAAAGAGTTCTTTGAGACCCGAAAAAAGAAATACATTGAACGGAAAGCATTCCAAGAAGGAATGCTGCGAGCCCAAAGCGAACGGCTCAGTAATCAGGTATGTCTCCGTGCCCTTCTGCTTTGGTTGAAGTGAAAAATTAGTTGAGATGAACCCGATGCTTGCCTTGTTTACAAGAAAAATGTGTACGTGGTTGGTACTTTTAATGAGGAAAGCGTCCATTCGAATAATTTATGAAGAAATTTTGCATACACAGTGCATCTTCTGAGCAAGAGCTGGGACGGATTACTCGGGACCGAAGTGGCGTTTCGCTTTGTGTTGGCTATACAGAAGCATGCATTGAGCTTATCATACGTTTTCCTCGTAATTCTTGGACTCATGTGGTAGATTTGGGCTTATCATTATCCCATATTTAAGCCTCTTATTATCTCACAATTTAGAATTTAGCACAATATCAAATTCTGCGATAGCCTGTGACCAAAGCTAAATGTGCATAATAAGCTGTTAAACATGCAGTTGAAGTATTACGGACCTAGAAAATTCACCAGACCGATTCCGCATTTTTAATCGTTTTACAGAAAATCATTTAATGATTTTGAAAGAGACTGTTGCCGGTAAATCTCTGTAAGACTGTCGACTGGAAGAAAGATATGGGTCCTGAAGTAAACTATTTTAAACTGTAAATGGGGGAGGGTACTTCAAGAATGCTTTTTTTTTGGAAAAAATAGATCATTAATTTATTAGAATTGACCCTTAGCGAAGTCTTGCCTGCAGGAATGGGAGCTGTGGTAATCTGAAGGCTTATTTAGCTGATGAACGATGAAGTGGAGATAAAAAAATGGCCCAGTCTTTTTTATGTTGTTCCGTAATACTATACAATAGCACAAGAAAAACTGGACGGTTTTTTATCTCTGCTTCGTCACTAGACAGCTAACAATTTCGAGTTTCGCGATCCCGCGGCTAAAAAATTTACAAAGAAAAAGCGTTGTATGTCTCTGTGTTGGTTGTAACAGCTGACTTTTTGCAGGCGCGATTTATCCTGGCAAAAATCAAGGGTGAAATTCTAATTGAAAATAAGCGCAAAGCGGCAATCGTGGAGCAGCTAGTGAAAAAGGGCTTCGATCGT